TCCTCACTTAGACATCCCCTGTTCTTGGGCCCAGCTCCCAAAGAAAAATGCCAGAGAGGGAGGGAAGGAGAGGGGGACAGCCGAGCTCCTTGCCATCTAGGCAATGGCCATGTTTGCCTGGCTGCCCTCTGACCTATACGTGCTGCCCACCCCCAGCCCCTCGCCCACTCAGCCCACAGAAGGAGGAGTCCCCTAGAGGTATTTGTGGATGAGGGGCTGAGGGAGCCAGGGAGCCTGAAAGGGCTCTCCTGGCCGCTGAGGTAGTGTAGGCTACCTGTGGAGAGGCACCTGTGGGACACAGACATGGGTGATGGCTCAGGAAAGGAGAACAGGTGCTTAATGAGGTGCCCATCTCTCTGAGGGTGTCCCAGCCCCCATTGGCATCCTGTGGTAACCCGGACGCTCAGAGCACAGCTGCCCCTCCAGTACCCGCTCCACTGAAGTCAGCACACACATAAAAGGGAAAAGCCAGGCCCTGCTCAGGTTTCAGGAGTGACAGGTTAAAAGCAAGGAATCTAGCCAGCCCTGCACACGGCAGCCAGGCCAAGCCCTGCCGGCCGGGCACTCCTCCTTGCAGGCTGCCTGTCAGTCAGGCTTTGGCATTATTGAAAGATCAAACTTGGTCCTGCCTGCTCATTACCTTAATCCTATTTTCTACATGACTTTATTATCTGCTCAGGCTTCTCTGGGAAAGACAGCTCCAGAGAGTCCTCCTGTCCATCCATTTCTTCCCACCAAAAGCAGAGGCCTCCACCCGGGCATCTTCCCTCAATGCCTGCACTGCAGGATCTGCCAAGCCCCACGGGGCACAGGACAGATGTTTACACAAGGCCTGGTCTTTCTGGGGGCCAGGGGCTAAGGGCTGGAGAAGAGGCAGTACCAACTGATGCCCAGGGTGATCCTGCCACATGAAGAGCCCACAGGCTGGCCAAAGGATGCAGTGGCTTTTTTTTTTTGGTTTTTCTCCGGTACCGGGAACCGAACTCCCGACCTTGCACTTGCCAGGCAGGCGCTTCTGCCGCTGAGCTAAATCCCCAGCCCCAAGGATGCAGTGGCCTTGTCTCCATTAAGACTCAAGACCACAGCTGTCTTATGCCCATTCTCATTTGGGTTCTTTCTCGGTTCAGTATAGACTCAGGGTTTGGGGCTGATGAGGTCTAGGAGAATCACAGTCAAAGGGTTGGTGCCTCAGGATTCCATCTTGACCTTGAATTCCCACTAAGGCAGCCACAGCCCTCAGACGGCCTGGCCCACCATGGTGTGCCTGGACCTCTCCACCACCAGCCGTGCACCATCCCAGGTCCCGGCAGGCAATGGTGCCAGCTGATTAAACGAAACTGGCTCTTAGCAGAAGGGCCCATCTGTAATCCATGGCCTTACTGGCCAGAGCCTTCTTTGTGCCATGAGGTCAACAGGCCCCTCTCCTTCTCTGCAGGTACTGAGGATTAATAAACTCCTAGGTACCAGTGTGGAAACAACTGTGGTGGAAGGAGTAGACGCTTGGGTGGGTTGACTACTCCTGGGGTGGCCCTCTGCCTCAGCCCTGCTCAGATGGAGGAAAGCCTCATGGCAGGAGGTGGGCAGGGCAAACTCATAGGAACAAGGTTCACAGCCCACAGGATGCCAATGTGCTAGGGGCTCAAGGCCAAGGGAACCCTGCTTGTTGCCTCTAGGCTGGCAGCAGTGTGATGTGACCACTTACTACATTAAGTAGTAAGTAGATCTCTGGGAAAAAAAAAAAAAAAAAAAAAAAAGGAGATCTCTGGGTCCGGGAGTGCTGGTGCAAGCCTACAATCCCAGCACTTACAGGAGGCTGAGGCAGAAGGATTGCTGTAAGTTTAGGTCAGCCTGGCCTCCACAGTGAGTTCAAGGCAAGCGTAGACTACATACCAAGACCCTGTCTCAAAACAAAACGAAAAGAACCAACAAAACAAAAAAGAAAAATGTATCTCTGGGCTGGGGTTATAGTTCAGCAGAATAGCACCTGCTGAGCATTGTTCAAGGCTCTGGGTTCAATCCCAGGTGTGCACACAAGCGCGCACACACAACAAAGAACAAAAGTAGGTCTCAAGGGAGGTGACAGCATCTGCCCTTCATCAGACCACACATCCTCTGTTCAGTACTCAGAGGGGTGAAGACACAGTGACAAGGGAAACTCGGGGGAGAGTGGTCCTGAAGCAGCAGGATCAGCACTGCAGGCCCATCTCGCCTTTCCTCACATCTTTCCTGCCGACCAAGCCCTGACTCCGCACCGGTGCTGCCCTCTTCCCTGCCATGGCCAGTGCACAGGGCAAGCTGGGCCCTTCCTCAGGCCCGGGCGGGCACCCATGGCTGGGTCTTCTGTTCCCTCGCCATAGCTTGCTTTAGGGTGGGCCTTGGAACACAGTTTTGGGTACTAGCCCATTATTGTTTAAGCTGCTTTGATTTAAGTCTTCATGACTTATGAAGCAGCCATGGATCAAAAGCTATGGCTGACTGATCTGCAAGGCTTATGGGAAACAACTGAAGAACCTAGAACTGGGCCTGGAAAAAGAGAACTACCTGCAAGAGGAGAATGGAAATGTTCCAACATCTAAAGCCCTGTTCTGCAGCGGGGAGGTGCACTTGCTCCTTGCTCAGGAAACAACTGACCTGGGTAAAGGGTAGGCAGTAGAACTCTGAAGCTGCCTGGAGGCAGTGTGCTGTGTGTAAAGCACTGAGTTTCCCATCCCTCTGCCTGGATGATTAGCAGACGTGACTACTGTGGAAAGAACATGTTTAAGGAAAACGTCTCCTGTCAGGGAGAACGCTCCACACTGCCTCTGTGGAAAGACCAACTATATAGAATGGACTTTTCAGAAAGATGGCATGGCAAGCACTTTCCAAGGATGATGGAGAGAACAGGAGAAGACAGAGAGCAACTGAGGGAGGAACCACGCAAAAAACACAATTTAGCCAAGTGTAGTGACGCACACCTGCAATCCCAGCACTTGGGAGGCTGAGGCAGAAGGATCACTGTGAGGTCAAGTCCAGCCTGAACTACACAGCAATACCCTGCCTCAAAAAACCAAAAAGAAGAAAGAAAAGAAAGAAAGGGAGGGAGGGAGGGAGACGCTTTAGCTGCTACTAAATTGTATTTACAACTGAGGGCTAGATTTGATGCCAAAAGCGTAACTGGTAAGAGAAAAAGTTGATAATTTGGACTGCATCAAAATTTAAAACTTATAAAAGATACTCTGAAAAATAGTTTGGCAGGTAAAATCCAACATTTGGTTATCAAATAATCCAGCAACTGTGCTCCTGGGCATTTACCCAAGATAAATTAAAATGAATGCTGATATAAAAACCTATATACAAATGTTTGTAACAGCTTCACTTGCAATAATCAAAAATTGAAGCTGGACATGGGAATGTGAATCTGTAATCCCAGCTACCTGGAAGGCTGAGGTATGAGGACAGTAAATTCAAGGCCAGCCAGGGCAATTTGGCAAGACCCTATCTCAAAATAAAAGAATTAATCCAGGCATGGTGGTACATGCCTGTAATCCCAGCACTTTGGGAGCCTGAGGTAGGAAGATCCTAAGCTCCTACTTGGGCAATTTAGTGAGATCCTGGTTTTAAAAAATAAAAGAGGCTGGGTATGTAGCTGAGAAGTAGAGTGCTCCTGGGTTTAATGTGCAGTACCATAAACTAAACTAAACTAAACTAAACTAAACAGGGGTGGGGATGTAGTCCAGTGCTTAGCACATGTTAAGGCCCTGGGTCCAATCCCTAGTACCAAACAAACAGCAACAGAAATTCTTCAGTGTGAATGCTCTTCAATGGAGAAAGAAACATTGGTGCAATGATACCATGGAACACTATTCAGCAATAAAAAGAAACAAGCTACTGATGCATCCACCACTTCTATGGGTCACAAAGGAATTATGCTGTTTTCCAAAACAGCCAGTCTCAAAGGGCAGCACACAGTATGATCCCATTTTGCCTTTCAAATGACAAAATTATACAGATGGAGAACACATATGTGGTTGCCAGGAGTTAGAAACAAAAATGAACGTGACAGGGAGGAAGGTTGGTGTGGCCATGAAGGGGTGTGAGAGAGCTCCGTGCTAATAACAACACTGCTCTGTATCGTGATTGCAGTAATGGGTACACATTACCTGCACACGTGATAAAATCGCACAAACTACAAACACGTTCACAATGAATGCAATCTGAACAAAGGTCTGTGGATCGCACTGATGTCAATTCCTGGCTTTGACATTTACCATGTTATGTAAGATGTTACATGAGTGTCTCTCTATCCTACTTTTATAAATTCCTATGAATCTACAGTTATTTCAAAATAATTTCATTTTACAGCAGAATGGCAGATAATCAGACAGGAGTTTGTCAAGCCTGCCAAAGCAGAGAACTCTGAATAATTTTTTTGTTTTTTGAGGTTAAGAGTAGGAAATTTTATTTAGGGAAAGATACTTCTTAAGACAAGAGGGGAGTGGAAAGTGGGTTGCCCCCCCCCCTTTTTTGAGTAGCAGGAATCAAACTCAGGACCTTGTGCTTGCCAAGCAGGAACTGTGCTGCTGAGCTATATCCCCGGCCCCAACCTGGATGTATTTTAACTGTTCTGTATAATAATTTTTATAGGTTCTATAGGCCACTTTCAAAATTTCTTTATTTTATAAAAATAATCTCCAAGCATAGATGGGATTTTCACACAGCCAAGCACTCCTCAGAGAGAAAGTATCATAAATCTGAATTGTTGTTACCATAAATTCTACATAAAATTACTTACCTATTATTTACCTAACTTCAACAGACTCCTCAGGCTAGCTCCAGGGGCTCCATGTGAGAAGGCACCATAGTGGAGGCTGTCGGGGGTACACGGCAGGGTCCTCCCCAGCTGCCCCCCTCGATCACTTGGCCAACTGAGGCAGGGGCTGGTTCAGCCAGCTCCCTCCTCTTCCTCCCAGGCTGCCCTGCTTCACCTGCCCTGGAGCACAGTGGGCTTAGGAATTTCTTACCTGTTGAGGTCCCAGATTCTCAGTGGTGAGAAGTGGCCACAACAAGCGGTCCCTGTCACAAAAGAGCTGCCAAAGAAAAGGAGAGCAGGGTCAGATCTGGTTTGTCAGAACTTGTGGCAGAAATGGCTGCACAACTGGAAATGCAGAGCACACTTCCATGGGGTCAAACCAGAAAGAGAGAAGCAGCAGAGAATGACCAGGGCAACTGTGCAGAGACACCCTGGAGCGTAGATGGGCTGCCACCTCCTAGGGCTGCCTGGGCAGAGGACCCCCAGGGTCAGAAAGTGCTGGTCTTGCTCCTCAGACCAGGCTGTGTCTTCCTTGCCCCCCATAAAGACATACCTGCAGATGGGCAAGTCTGAGCCCACAGAGCAAACCTGTGGGGCTGCAGCAGTACGAACTCTGAACATGCAGGGCCGCGGCCCAGCAAGGGCCACCTGTGAACATGCTACTGGGGAGAGAGGGTGATGCCCAGGCAGAGGTGGGGTGGCCAGAAACGTTCCTCAAGGGGGCAAGGCCTGGGTGAACCTGGCAGTGCGGTACAAGCACAGGGCAGGTGTAAACACGCCGCACTGAGAACAGGTCAACAGGAAAGGTAAGTCGATCCTACGCGCGAGTAAATACTACTGAACAAGGGTGGGGAATGGGAGGGTCAGGCACTCGGGGCCACTGGGGCCTGGGGCAGGGGTTCAGAGTCCCCCAAGGATACTGCCAAACACTGCCAAGAGGAGCTGAAAGGGAACACACTGCCCACATTTTCCAGAGCGTACTTTAAGCCCCTTAAAACTCAACACAGTCTGCAAAGTTTCATTTTAAGGGGAGGCTCATACTCCACGGGAGGCACCAGTGTGACGGAGGCAGTGGGCTGGCCACAGTGCTAGGACTAGAACGCCTGAGCCCCTGAGCGCAGCCACTCCTTTGATAGAAGGTTTCGCAGGGGTCGGGGGAAGGCTTCCAGAAACCCAGGCTTGAAAACATAACTGGTAGGCAGGAAAGCAGGAAGCAGTTGTGTCACTCAGAAGCCCTGAGGCAGGGATGGGCTCTGTCCCTACACGTCTCGGAGGAGGAGGGGACTGGACACTAATGACATGTTAGCAGTGTGGGCCAGCAGCCCCTCCACCTGCTCTCCCAGCACCTGGGCTCTGTCCCAAGCACGGCAGTGGGAGACAGAGTTCCACAGGGAGGGCACTGAAGAAGCCAGCATCTTGGGCTGGGGTGGGCAGCTGGCTGCCAGTTGCTGCTGAGGGAGAAGGTGAGGACAGACATCAGCCAAACTGCTGGCTCAAAACTGGGGGGACCAGGGGCCGGGGAGACACTTCAGGCCCTAAACTGACAAGCTATAGTAGTCACCTGGGGCTGTCACGCCTCAAGCCAGCACTTCCTCCAGAGACATGGCCCATCATCCCAGCTTTCTCCTGACCCACAGGATGGCCAGACAGCCACTCCCGCCATGCCCCAAGTAAACTTCCAGCCTGGGAAGCAGCTACTGGACACTGAAGAACCAAATTACAAAGCCAGGATGTGTTGCCCACCCCTGCCTCCTTCCCATAGCTTTCTCTGGAGCAATCCATTAGTAACTGGGAAAGCCAGCCTTAGGTTGGAAACATGTGATGCGGCTCTGCAGACTTTTGAGTAGGGCCTGGTGAAGGGCGCCAGCACAGACACACAGGCATCTCTTCGTGAGCCCACAGCAGGCCTCTGACTGCCTGCCCATGGGTCCGGGGGAAGCCGGCAGGTCATGGGAAGAGGAACTTGGAACTTCAATCCGTGCCATTCCCACAGCTCTGACCTCCCAGCAGGCAGGGTGGGGTTGGGGGATACAAAAACCCTTCCCAGGGATTCCTGTCCTCTACCTGGTCCACCTGACCACGGGAGAAGAGGCCCTCACTTTCATAACCTATGAACGACTTTCTTAATTGCCTGGACATGAGACCCCTAAATGTTCCTTTCTACGAGTTGCCTTTTTGCTTGCTTAGTCACTGTGAAGCAGGCAGCCAGAGAAGGAGAAAAAGCAGTGTCTTCTCGGCACTTATGAAGACCTAAGAGTTTTGTGAAAGTTAGAAAACCATCTGAGCAACAGTTAATCAACTTTGAGCCAACTCCTGCTGGGGGATACACACTGGGACTCACACCCAAACCAGGGGGACTGTCAGGGTACAGGGGGTCAGGCTGGCTGGTCACAGTCCTCAGTCTATTCCCAACTACTTGTGGCCATGCTTAGCTCCACCCCACTCCCCAGTTACCATGGTCATTAGCAAGAATGCGGACCACAGCCGAGAGCACTCTTCCAGAGTATGTGACAGACATGTGGAATCCATGATACAGAAGGGAAGAAGGCAATGGTCCAGTTTCAGTGAAGCTACCAGGATGCTGCAGCTGCACACAGGACCTGTGGCCCCCACATTCTATCCCCTCCCCAAAGACTGCACTCAAAGTGCATTGCATGGGCTGGCTGAGATGGGTCATGGCCCTCACGGGCACTTTTCCACCCTCCGATCTCCCAAGCTCATCACCCTCAGGCCTCAACGTGATGCCATGCTCTGTCTCCCACCCCTGACACCTATGGATTCCCTCCGCATCCCTCACTATGCTGGGTCCCACGCTAACCGTGTCAAAGGTGCTCAAGAAATACCTGCAGAGCAACCACTGAAAACACATGCTGTCCCTTTTGTGACCCATCTTGAGGGTCTGATGGTACTCGTGTCCAGCACAGTGCTGGCCCAGAAGGTCCTCAGTATGAATCTGTGGAGCTGCACGTAAAGGGCCTTTCAGAGGCCAAAGCCAACATGGCTGGGGAAGCCATATTGGTCCCTCAGCTTCTGGAAGGAATAATCCCGAAGACTCAAACCTGAATGGCAGTCGCACAATCGGAGAAGTGAGAAGCCCTTCATAAGCGCAACAACAGAAACTTCAAACTATCTAAAAATTAATGTTAGCACATGCACACTTCTACAAACACACGTGCTCTCTCCTCAACTACAGGGCTGAAAAGTCATTCTGACCCCCAAACTTACTCTTTTTGGACCAGAAAGTCTTTACCAGATGGTAACTTTTACAATTTCTCCCCATTCTGTCCCAATCCTTGCCCAGGTCCTCAGGCTACCTGATTTGTCCCCTGGGCCTAACTTGGGCAAGTCTGGCATCGCAGAGACCACCATGAGGACCAAGAAGTAGACACACACAGGCCTTCACATTAGAAAAGATGGCAAAAACACTAGGGCTTCTGTACACAAGTTGAGAAGCAGAAGGTAACAAGACACAGGAAACAAGAGAAGGACAGAAGGAAGGAGAAAATTAGTGGGGCATGCTTGAGCCATTCCTAGCTACATGGATGCACCCTGAAACTATATTCTTAAGTGAAATAAATCAGACACACTTGTAAATACTGCATTGTTTCTCTAGTGTGAGAAACTGAAAGTATAAATAAGGACCAAAATATAGAATAGATATTGTGAAATACGAAGAAAATGTTCAAATGTGAAGGGGAACAAGGGAGACGGGAGCGGAGGATGGAAGGAAGGGAAAAGAAAAGAATGAGAAAAGAACAAATGGAACAAAGCTTTTGTAAATAAAGATGGGAGAGCCAAGTGTGGTGGTGCACGCCTGTAATCCAAGCACTCAGGAAGCTGAGGCAGGAGGGTCATTGTGAGTTCGAGGACAGCCTGGGCTACAAAAGTGACTTCAAGACCAGCCTAAACTGCATAGTGACACCCTGTCTCAAAAAGGCCAAAAAAAAAAAAAAGCCAAGAGGGGAGGCCAGGCATGGTGGCCCACAAGCCTGTAATCCCAGCACTGGAGAGGCTGAGGCAGGAGAATCACTCTGAGTTTGAGGCCAGCCTGCACTACCTAGTAAGACCCTGCCTCAAAAAACAAAACAACAACAAAAAAATTTTTTTAAAGTAAGGAGGGGAAGAGTGTTTGGAGGAAGGGTAGGGGAATAGGAAAAAAAAAAATCAAGTTGTGACATATACAGTACAAATTCCCTATAATGAATGTGAGCATTATGCATACCTAAAATGTACTAATAAACTTAATTAATTAAAAAAAATTAGTGGGCCATAGACTGAAATGTAGGTAGAGTCTTACTCACTGCTTCTGCATTAGCTTAGGCTAATTTTTTTAGTTGTTTTTTTTTTTTGAGACAAGGTGTTGCTATGTAGTCCAGGCTGGCCTTGAACTCTCGGCTCAGCCTCCTGAGTGCTGGGGTTATAGATGTGCCACCATGTCCAGCTAGTGTAGGCCCTCTTAGTAACCCTAATACACTCAGCCCTCCAAACTCTTGTAGATTTTGTCTCCATGGATTCAATAACCACTGGTGAAAAACACTTAGAAAAAAACCATTACATCTTTATTGAACATGGCTTTCTTTTGCTCAATAATACAGTGTGACCAGTTATTTACGTAGCACTTACACTGTGGTGTAAGTGGAGGAATGCAGAGCAGATCTGAAGCACAGGAGAGGAAGTACACAGGCTACATACAAACACCATGTCATTTTATACAAGAGGCTTGAGCATCTGCAGATTTTGGTATTGTTGGCCATTATAGTCCTGAAAAAAACTTTTCATAGATACTGAGGGATGACTAATTTACTGAGTACTTACTGTGTGTCAGATGTTGAGTAAATGTTTCAAAACCATTATCCACTAAAGTCTCATAAGCCTACGCAGTAGGTACTGCTTTTGGTATTTTACAGATGAGGAAACAGGCTCAAGGGGGTAATAAACATTCTAGTTCACATAATTAGTGAAGTATGCCAGGTGTGGTGGCACATCCCTGTAATCCCAGCACTTGGGAGGCTGAGGCAGGAGGATCATTGTGAGTTCGAACCCAGCCTGGGCTACAAAGTGAGTTCAAGACCAGCCTGAACTGTATAGTGAGACCCTGTCTCAGAAAAAACAAAACAAACAAACCCCCCCCCAAAAAAAACCCCGAAAAATTAGTGAAGTATTAGGATTAGAACTGGACCTTGATCAGTCTTGATTTCAGAGGCCCTTGCCCCACAAGCTCTTATCTGGGTTACATTTCCAGTTCATCTTGTTTTTGTCCTCAGTACCTAGTACAGT